TCCACTCAAAGCGCTTTACAGGTAATGGGGACTCCCCTCCACCACCACCAATGTGCAGCCCCACCTGGATGATGCGACGGCAGCCATGGTGCGCCAGAACGCTCACCACACATCAGCTATCAGTGGGGAGGAGAGCAGAGTAATGTAGCCAATTCATAGGGGGGATTATTAGGCGGCCATGATTAGTAAGGGGCAATGGGAAATTTGGCCAGGAGGCCAGGATACTCGGTATGGGTATAGTTCTACTAGGAACACTGTAGTTATCGTTTCAAAGTTAAGACTAGGAAGACCACAGACAAGACAACAGCAGGAGTAGAAGAGAAAGGGGGAACTCCAATTTCCTACCAAATCTACTTAAATTCTACAGCCTCAATAACTCACCTGCAGTTTTTGGGACGACATCGGCCCTCAGCTGTCGGAGAGAAGAGAAAGAAAAGTGAGTCAAATTCCTTGCTGGGTGGACTGCAGTTCGTGCAGTCAATACCTTCCCTCAAGTAAGACCAAAGGATTTACAGGGCAATCTAACGACCGTTTATTAAGCCTTGAGGCCACAGTTCATTAGCTCACTGCTCCATGAACAGCGGCCTGCGAAGGCAGGCAGGCTCAGGCCTACTGCACAGGGGCCCAGGCAGCTGCAGAGACAGCCAACACCCTGCCAACTGCTCATATTCGTTAAGGGCTTCAGTGATGGAAGCACTGCTCCTCCCAGTATTGTGCATTCAGCAGCTGCACAGCCCCCGGTTCACAGTTGCAGTGCGAGATCAACCATCAGCAGGAACAGCCTTAAATTGGGGGGGGGGGAACTATTCTTTCACTGCTCCATACAAAGCAGCTGTGCGATGAGACTCAAGAACCCACCCTCAGCTGTCTGCAGGGTCATTTAATCCCTCACTCCTCAGTGCAGCAGTGTGCCCCAGGCAGACCCTACTCTCTCACACACCACAAGTCAAGCCAGCCCGCTCCCGAGCATCGCGCCCAGTTCTGCCCTCGGGCTCAGAGGCAAAAACCACCGCAGGACCAGCGTGCCGATTTGGCAGATCTGGGATTTTAAAACGCCTCTCCAGACCTCAAGGATGAGGGCTCTCTTAAAATGAAGGATTGGCTTTAGAATATAAAAATCAGAAAGGACGCACACTAGCCAACTTGCTAGCACCTAGGCCACCTGTGGATTTTTATCCAGACACTTCCAGGATGTACTGTGGAGCGAGGAACCGGACTATGACCTGTGAAAGATGTGGTATTGAAGATTTGGATGTTCATTTCATATGCGGATTGGGAATCGGGGACAAGTAGTTTAAATCCTCGACTTATTTTAAATTCTGAATGCAGAATGAGGACCAAACCTCATGTTAGGGTGCCATTACCCCTCTTACAGGCTTTAAAGGCAAAAGGTTATCGTTTATTGAAGGGTTGCAGTGAACGTGTTCAAGACAAGGTTTTAAAGCTATTTGCAAAACGTCCAATGGAATCTTTTACAGATTGAAAGAAAATTCTGCAGGAAAAGGTCAAACCCGTTACTGCAGGTGTACCCAGGGCAGTCCCAAAACACCTCGCGATTCACATGACAAATGCCGATGTTAAGCTGCTGAACCCTTTGGGTCATTAATAAATGCATGAAGTTAAAAGTCTGCCTCCACAGCCAGCCAGTTTTCAGCTCTACTCGTTAACAAAACAAAAAAGGCGAGCTCCACACCCCGGTATCACCTGCCCGCTCGCTCTCCGCCAACTCGCACGATGCTGGTATTTTTCCACTGCCCAACAACAGAAAAAATTCCAGCAGGAAGCTGACTTTTTTTAAATAAAGAAAACGCCTCTCCGCCAAATTTCGCAACGGCGGTTCGAAACCGTGGCCTCTATTATACCGTCCACAGTCATCGACTTCCACATACAGCCCAGTGTTACTTCCGACTCACCCCGCAGCCGAAAATCTACCCTAAGTTCCGAGCCAGCGGACACCCTAGTGAACGCGTTTTACTTTTTTTTTTTTAAAAAAAAAGGACTCGCCGAATACTTCCGAGATGCTGGACGTCGCGGCGGCCCGACTGCGTTAAAATCAGAATCACGAAGTCGGTAAAGCACAAATGCCAATACAGCGCACCGAATCGATTCGGGTAGGATCGGGCGATTCTACACCCTCGTGGCACCCACATGAGCACGTGGAAACGGGCGTGTCCGCGCGCTGCGGCTGCGGGATTAATGAGCGAACAGTCAGCGAGGGAAGGTGACATCCGGTCTCTTAAAAACACTCGCCCTTGGACTTCGTAGTTTTGCGCCGGGTCATCGTGACACTGGAACGCCTAAAACCCTCAGCAGCAAGCGGGAGGGCGGCCGTTTCCATTCCTTCGCAGCAGCAAGACACGATTTTATTTAAACATTGTTATTGAAACGCGTGACGATACAGCACATCACATCAGAGGCCAGCAGAAGCGGTTAATCGGAAACCCCTCCAAAGCTGTACTGCAGCACCCTACCATCACGTTATTGACACTTTAAGGTCCTTTTCTCCTTTTTTTAAAAAAGGAAAGGAGAAGGCGGCTAACAAAAAAAAAAGCGTCACGAATACGTTTTCATGTTAAGGACCCCTTTTGGCCCAAATCACGTCTGAATGGAACCAAGTCCCACTGAAGAGCGGATGGAAGCTTCTAGATTTGCGATTCTCCAGTCGACGGAGGGCGCGCATTTACGCTTCCTGTCGCATTTACGCAGCTCCACGATGTCCCGTCCCGAGTTACGGTATTCTCGAATTCGTCCACCACGCAAACCCTTTGCTATGGTACGCGTTGGGACGTGTACCGCTCTCCCTTCCATTCGGCAACACGCCTCAATTTGAAACTGAACACCAAATTAGTCCGACTATTAAGAACTAAGTCACTAATAGGGCACCGGTAAAGCTTAACAGGGAGCGCATAGAATGCTACCCACCCCCACCTCAATATAAACGTTTTCCGTCTGCGGAAAGTTACTGGGTTAAAACGCGTTTCATTTTTTTTGCCCTGAAAGTGCGCTTAGGCCACAAGGCGCGGCCCCGGCAGGTCCTCGGCCCACGTGCAGCCGGAGCTAGGCAACAAAGAGGCGAGGCCGCGTGGGAACGCGCTGCGCGCGGTCACGGGCGCGGAGAAAAAAAAAGTAAAGCAATTTTATTCAAGCGAATGCAAGTTACTGATCCCGAAAATGATCCCGGAATTGGGTATAGACCCAATTGTCGAAAATCGCAAGCCGCAATGAGACCTGCCCACTGCTAGATAAACTGCCAAGAATGCAGATTTTTGAAGACTGACAGCTCTGCGCTTGAGATGTCCAGTAAGCGGAAAAGACTTCATTGATCAAGATGGCCACACGAACTGAAAATTCGTCTGTACCGGGGGGGAGACTCCCAGGAATACCGCATTTCTAAACGCGGCATTCCTTCTGCAGAACAATAGAGCCCACCCGAACACCGGCTAGGGAAAAATGTACCGATACAATACAAATACCACCGTACAGACGAATTAAACACTCTGGGAGTATCCGATTTCCAAAGTCATCCCCTTCCACAAATCTTGGAATCAGATTAATAGAAGGCTCGCATTTTCCCCCAAAATGGCCTCTTCCGCGGTAAAGGAAGGATGACAATGAAAATGGCGCCCGTCTCAATAAAAACACAAGACTGGAGAATCGTACCAAATTAGGGTAGTTGGGCAAAAACGGGGTATTCGCCTAGATTCGCATTTCCAGGAGACCAGGCATTGTTCCCGATGCACGATAAGCAGTGGATAGTTAAGTATTTGTGCCCGAAGTTTATTCCAATGCTTAAAGGTGTGCAAAAAACGATCATTTTCAGGACAATCTCATCAGGTTTAAATCTAGGATAGTTTTTTTTTCCAACCCACTAGAATACCCCCCTCCCCCCCCTACAACCGCATCACTACCCAGCTCAACTACGTCACTTCTTGCAGTTCATGTCTAATCGGCCAACTGCATCGTTCTGAGTTAAGAAGCGTGAACAGGGGGAACGCTGGAAAATGCTTAGCCCTGTTAGCAACCTCTATTACAGACCAGATACTTCATGGACCCAGGTGTAGGCTCGGCTATCCACACAAAACGTGCAGACAGGGAACGCGTCCCACAAGACGGCACACACGGCCATACATGCGCTCTTTAATCCCATGCGTTTACGATCCGACTGCAAGAACACCACATTTCACACACGCCTGAAGTCCAGACCATTCAAGTGCCATTATTTACCTCCATGATAATCCTGCCGATCACGTTGTCGCCAACGGCGATGTCGAAGAAGACCTTTGGGTTGCCCATACTTGAAGATGAATGGAGGGGGGGGGTTACCGGATAAAGTACTTGAACGTGGACTTCAGCCAAGACCCTACCCGTGCCGCAGCTGATTCGGAACAAAAAGAGTGCCGGCAAAGGCAAAGAATTTATAAAACGTAAGGAAGTCCCCGGGACAGTTACAACCAATGGGAAGAGGGGAGATTTTGAAGGGCGCAGAGCTTGACCAATTAGAAATCACTGCGGCGCATAAATTAGAATCTCCGTCTCCTCTGGAGACGCTGCGCTGTGGTGAGGGAGGTGCGTGATTTGCATGGTCCGTTAATGATAGACGTGAGCACTATTCAATTAAGTGGGAGCTTGTAAATAACGGACCTGCCTTTCGCCCAATCGGATTCACTTTGGAAGCGGTGGGAGGGCTCTGCTTGACAGCGCGGTTTGTGCTCCGTCATGTGCATACAACGCTGGCGTAAAATGGCAGCCATTGGGGCTCCATTCGCCCACAGCCAGGTTATCATTCTGCGTTGGTCCACAGATCCGTAATGGCGCCGGTTTCTGAATCCCTGGAGTTCTCTGAACTCGATGGGACGTGTGTTTTTTTTAAACCCACATTTTAAATGGCATGTTAGTGATTTGACTTGGAAAATACACATGCTCATCCTTTTCAATGCCAGATTTCAGCCTGTCAGATTTCAAACGTGTCTGCAATTTTTCAACAAGCCTTTACTCATAATTTACATTAACCACGCCTTTAACGTGTATGTATGAGTGCTCGTGAGGTGCTCTTTGAAACGAGTGTTCTTCAAGGTTTGACATAATAAAGTTAAAAATGTAATCGTGGCAAACGAGTCAATACACAGTCTGTAATCCTTTTCTTCGTTTCTTGCGGTTAGGCAGTAACTTTACTTTTAATTACTTTGTTTTAGTACATGGTAAACCAAACAAGCTTTAACTATGTTTAGCTCTGAATGCCCTGAAAAATGAAGTTCCGAAACAGAGAGAAATAGCACATTTCTAAACTGACTGCTCAAAAAGTGACGGCTATTGAAAATGTACTTAAAATGCTTGACGTGTAAATTCCTGGACTCGCACAATTCACTTTAAGTACTGGTTTCGAATCACTTCCGGGTGTCGAAACAGTGCCTGGCGAAACGAAAGGGTGTAGATAAAATACTTCTTATTGTTATTTTATAGTCCGCCGCTTTTGTGGGCCCCACAGTGTAGTCTACATAAATCAAGAGATCATGATTACTGCAAAAATAAAAGTCCATAGCATAAACAAAAACATGCATGTAAACGATAGAAAATTTCGACGCATTTATCTCCAATCCCGAGTTAGAGGGATGAGGTGTCTCAAAATGTGTTGCATCCTTACACGACCGTGTTCAGACCCTGTTTTTTAAAGGTGTTAAAGGCTCCTTCAAAAGTGCCTCAGGAATGTGGTGGCCCAAGAACACGCCTTCAGTCGAAGCCTGCTATGAGCTAAAGCGAATTTAGCGCCATTGTGCTGGATGCATTCTGAGTAGCAGACAAGGCGCGCCTGACCCAAAACACACGACACACACACACCGCTCACTCCAATGAGAAAGAAAGAGGCATGGGGTACACCAATTATCTTTAATAATTATAATAACAATAATATTATTATTAATAAAAAAGATGAATATGATACACATATAACTTGGAACAAAACACAGTTGCACATCCAATAACTTCCGTCGCTCTGGGTCATTATCATACAAACTGACGACAGCCGACACAGCGCGTAGGCAGCAGTCATAAATAAAATAAAAAAATATAAGAACGGGCAAGAAAGGGAACAAGGAACGTCGATCGATTAATTGGCATTCTCTTCAAGAAAGAACAGGAGTGGGTCTGGCAGAGCATGTGTTTTTGTATGCACTTTTAATTATAGTGTTTTGGATATTTACAGGGACAAAACGTTGTGCTTTTTTTAAAAAATAAGGTTTTTTTTTGTCCGCACTCCTCGTTACTGTACTTAATATTTCCTAGTTCTCCCAAGAACCTACCCGCACGGATAGGATTTCGTCCATCATTTCTAGCTTCTCGGGTTTTTTTTTTTAAAGTAATTAATCCACAACTTCCAGTCAAGGATTGAGACAAATTAAAACCCACAATATACAGAAATCTGGATAAATGGTGCGAGCGTATGAAGTTGGAATTCGAAGTTAATGGCTGCTTGTCTCGGAGAAAAGTTTGTATACAAAACTTGCATTTCAAATGTAATATATTTTTTCTGTTTTCTATGACGTCACACACCCCAATGACGTTTCCCTACAATTAATGCAGCCCTTCTTTACAGGTCAGAGAACACTCATTCCTGCCCCCTGTAAGCTCAGGGCTGCCTGACCGATCGATGCCCACTACCTCGGAACTTCAAGCACTTGAGATCACAAACCCGGTCAACACTAACGCCTGCGCACACTGCAAACACTATACACTACACTCTGCCCGCATTGGGCCTGCTGAGGTCTGGGTTAGGGGGATGCTGGGATTTGTGGAACAGAGATGAGGAGACAATACCCAGAGGAAGAACGGCAGCAGTGTTTCTCTGAGCTCGGTGCTGCGTCAAGAGCAGGGCGACAGGAAGGGGAAGCCACATTCCTTTCAGCTCATTGCGCGATCAATGAATGGCTGCACAGATGACCAAAAAAATAATCCAAAAACAGATGGGAGTTAAGGAAAATTGCCATCCCTTCCCCCTCTTCTGCAGTTGGGAGAGGGAGACAGAATAATTTGCCTTCTAAAAAGGGCATGGGGAGATTTTCAGTTGATGCAGCAGATCCTATCCAGGCCTAACGGGCTAGAGGTTCATAAAGAAAGCGAGATGTTATCCTGCAGATGCTGCCAATTTTACGGCGGAGAAGGTGCAAGGCGTGGGGTCGGGTGAGCCTCTGGGTGAATGAACCTTTGAGCAATGCGGACTTGCGTCAGGCAGAGCGATTTCCCAACACGAGGGAATAAATACAGAGCCTTATCCCGAGCCAGCAACTTGTGACTGGGGCAGAACCAACCTGCTTTTGTTAATGAAATGTGTCAATTCCTGAAGCTCAAGGCTTGTAGCTCCCAGATCCAGGGCTCTGCAGGTCTGGGGCTCGGTGGCTGCCTCAGACACACCGGCACGCCCTGCGAGCGTCATCATCTCTGGAAGTCAGCCAGGAGAGGGAAATCAACACAGAGAAAAGAACAGAGCAAGCTAACCAGAGGGACTGGCCTTTAGACTTTCACCACAGCCCGAAGCAAAGACTCTGGGCCCGTGCCAAGGCGCCAGACAGGCCTGGGCAGAGAGAGGACGGAAACAGGGGGTTGTGTTCTTCCTACACCACACCAGAGGATCAGCCACACGCATTCCAGCTACGGCAGTGCTGCCCTCGCACCGGTGCACAGCTACATAAAGCAAAGAGAGACGTCTCCGCCACGCAAATTAAGAACACAAACTAAAAGACTATCAGAGCTGCTGGGCAGAGTTGTACCTGCTGGGTAACTGTCTATGAACGACAAAGTAAGAAAAGAAAACTTGCTTTCATTTATGGGGAGGAATGCAAAGCCACTGCTGCAGTAAATGGCTCTTGAAGACACCCCTATCGCTCTCACTCAGGTGTAGAATGCCGAGCCAGGTGTCTCATGCTCCAGCTCTCTCAATAGACAGTGTCTTCTGGCCTTTGTTCCTGCTTAAGGCATCTCAAACATTTACTCATTTGCAGAGCCGACTGAAAGCCCGAAAGACCGAAAGGCTGTGCTTGCTTCAAGGTGCAGGTCCAGAAAAGCATCAAAGGCATCGCCCGGTTATTTAAACAACATTTTATTAAGTAACTCGTGATGGGACAAAAACAAGAAGACTTCTGGAGCTGCCGGACAGGAGCCGAGCTTAAGACCCTTGCTTAAGAATGTTAAAAGCATCCTCCGTCCACGTGGAGGAGTGGTCAGGGCTCTGGACTCGCAGCTAGAAGACTGTGGGTGCGAATTCCAGGTGTGAGGAGGGGGTAGGTGCCACTGCTGCTGGACCTTTCAGCAAGACCCTTCGCTTGGATTGCTCCAGTAAATCTCCCCTGCCATACTGATGGGTACAGATACAAGTCACTTCAGATAAAATCGTCACCAATTCAAATTCCAAATTGTTAAACTGGTATTGTGAACACATTATGCACATCTAAAAGAAAGGAGGAAAGGTGAAGAAAATGCTTTGTACAGTGCCTAATCAAAAGGAGACGAGACAAGGCCTTTTCAAGTTCCCTGCTAAGGATACAATGCATTTTCTATCCATTCTGAGCTCTATATACAGACTTCATGGACACTATAGATGTTTAGTGGGACACATGGTTTACTTTACATGTCTGTTTTTAGATTAATAAAATCTTTTTAAAAAAAATTAAAACAATTTAGACTTACAGGTTAAAATAAAATGGCATTTTGAGATTGGTTTGAAACAGCCTGCAAAGCCTTCGCTTGAAACCACAGATACCAAGCGCAGGGAAGAAATGTCAAGACCACAAGGGGATTAAATGAGGCATCCGTCTGCACTGTGCATTCTGGTGCACTTGAGCACAACATCCCTGCCATAATCCACATGCACCCCAATTCCCCATCTTCGACACCTACCCCCACCAGTCTTAGTGCAGTTCCCAAGTCATCATCAGAAAACTTATGGGATTCTGTACAAAAACATCTCAGCTGAAAAGATTCCAAAACTTAGGACATCTGAACTGTCTTTTTTTCCTTCACTTACTAATTGATTTCATTAAATAAAAAAAAAATATTTGCTGTAGCTTCTTTGTCTCTCACCCCTGTCTTGAAGAAAAAGGGTTAGGGACTGGCAAGGGAAAATCTCCCAACGGAATGCTGCTTTCGCTCTGAGACCTGCCCAAGGGCTTCTTGAAGGCTTTACCTTTTTTTGCAGTGGCAAACACTATCAATGTCTGCAACAGAAGGATCGGCTTCTAGGAACTGTGGGATTTGTAGTTCTCTCATTGCAATGGGACGGGCTTGTTTGAGCCAAGGATGGAAGGGATGAGACCTTAAGTCTGAAGGTCATAGCCCAAGAAGCATGGGTGATTTTGTCATGCTCGAAGACATGAGTGGAACTACTCTGCTGCGTTACAAATGTTTTTTTTTGTGTGTGTGAGACTGGCCTAAGGAACTCTGGGAAATGTAGTTTTCTCGTGGTTTCCCGCTGCAAGGGAATGCAAGGAAGTACATTCCTCTGAATGGATTCTGGGAGTTGGAGGCGAGGACCGTCTCGGAAGGTCTCGGAAGAGGATCCAGGGAGGTGTGGCTCGTGGCCCCCGCAGCGGGCGTGGGAGGTGCAGTCGGACTCGCTCAGTTGTTCTCGAAGAGAGAGAGCAGGTCGTCGTTGCTGTTGTTGGGCAGATCGGGGGGGCCAAGGTACGAGAGGAGCTCGTCGGGGTTCGTCAGCTCGGGGAGCAGCTGGAGAAAGCAGTAAAAAGAAAAGGAGCGTTATTCAAGAAGGAGATGCAAGAGCGCCAGAGAGAGAAACCAGCCAAGACAGGAGTGAGGAGACACGGGATGGTGAGGGATCTGAGAGCACGTGCAACACGAGGGGAGCGAGTGCAAGAGTACGTGCGTAAGACACGACTGAGGCTAACCTCCCAGCCAAGGGAGCCGCTCGGATTCCTTCAGGGCGCTTGCAAAAGCAACAAAGAGCCAGACAAAAATGTAGTTTGGAAAACGGTCAGCCATCAGACACGATGGGACCAACCCATGACAGGGGAAGGAGCGGGATGAGAAACGGCTTCTATGTCAAAGTACTCAGCGAGAGAGATAATGGAGACGAGAACTGTGCAGAGCCTGTCAGAGACAGACGGGCCCTACGGGCAGCGGGCTATTGCGCAACTCACATCGAGAGACGGTTCTGGCACCTCTCCTGCCCCTCCAGGGCCTCCTAGCCCGAAGGAGCCATCCGTGTGCAACCGGGGATTCTGGGAAGGGTTGCGGGGATGGAGTGGTGGGCCCCCCTGCCCGGCCATGTGCGAGTTTCCATGGAGACCCTGATGCTGCTGTTGCTGCTGCTGTTGCTGCAAGGGATTATGGGAGGGGTCCATGCGTCCAGAGTGAGGCATCTGGGAGCGAGCAGAGAGGACAGGCTGGGTTAGCCGATACTTCCATGGCAGTGCTGTTGAGCAGATTAACACCTTCATGCACCATTATTCTGATTTCTAGTTTGCCTTGCCTTGTTGTGCATTGCGAATTTCAGTCAACTCGCAACTTACGTGCTCATGAGTTATGTAGTCGGCTCCAGAAAACAAAAATATTGAAAAAATGCTTTATTCTCTGAAAGCTTCATCAAGCGTGCGTACAAGATCTAGTTAGCGTGCCTATACAGTTGTCTTATTTACTTTTATGTACTGCTTTTATACTTATATTTAAAATCTTGACCGTGAGAGGTTATTAGGGTTTTTTTTATAAGGGTTATAGGGTAAAATGTTACTATATGTGAATTTGGCTGTACATGGTACTCAAAATCCCTAACCTCCGCATAAACGGAGTCGACTGTACAGCACACTCAGACTGGGAGAACAGAAGTGCACAAAGTGAATATTAAAAAAAGATATGTATCTGTCCTGCCTTTAACTGGGTAGGTCAGCATAATTCCAACACTATCCAGTGTAGCAACAACATAAAAACACATTACAACAACCTGTAAAAGACATGTAAAGGGCAGAGTAACACAAGGGAGCCTGGCTCTTACAGAGTTTTAAATGCACACACAGTTAATGCCGTGCCATGGGAGAAGCTCCCTGGACTTATAGAGAAGAGGAGGCTGTCAAAGACAGATAGAGGGAGGCTGTCAGTGACAGACCCACTCTGGGCTGCTGAGTGGGCGCGCTGAGTGGGCGTGCCTGCTGGCGATACCACACAGGTATCACTGCTTGTCTGAGGACCAAATCTGAGAGAATGTCTTGGACAGTGAGGAGGCTGTATCATACTTCTGTCCAACACTGAGTGAGCCGCAGGTCCACACAGGTAAAGAAATACCAGCGTGTGCTGGTAGGGGGCAGAACCTCTCTCAGCACAGCCAAAAAAGGCCAGAGGAAAATCTTCACAGTCCACTGAAAAATCCTGATGGTAGCGGTTTTTCCCCCCATGAACGTCCGTGCAGGTAATGGAAATGGGGTTCTCTCAGTATGCCCAGCGCTGTAAGGTACCCGGATTAAAAGCACCTGACTTTATAATGAGACTTGCTGTGTCACGGCATGAGTGCCAACGCAGTTTGTCATAGCTTCATCCCTGTACCTCTGCCAGCATCCGCTTCATCCCACAAATCCCGACCAGCAAACCAAGGAGGAATGAGAATCCAGACGCTCAGATGTGCACAGAAGTGCTCGAGTGATCGGAAGGAAAAGGGGCAACATGGAGGTTACACCTGCCCCCCCCCCCATCAGGACAGGAGGGTTGGGGGCCACTGGACCCACCGGGCTCCCACCCTGCTCCTTCCTGGGGGGGGGGGCGACTGGAGGCACAGCTTCCAGAGGAGCGCCGGTTGGGCAGGCAGGAGGAGCCCGTGTGCTCTTCCTCACTCGCCACCCGCGTGGGCACCGGGGTCATCGCCGTGCCCCGCGCCCCCCCCACCCACACACACACACACGTGGAGCGAGTCTGAGAATCGGCAGGGTGTGTGAGAAGACGGGGTGTGCCTCAGAGCAGGAGAGGTGCAGCGGACAGGGCTGCCTGCCGGGTGCTTACCTGCGCAGGCATGGAGTGGCCCAGGGGCTTCTCAGGGGTCAGCAGCCCGCTGGGCAGGTCGGCCTGGTAAGACAGAGGTGGGGGTCCGGGATTGAACTCCCCCAAGGTAGGGGTCCCCGGGGCGTTGGGAGGGAAATCGGGGAAGTTAGGCTGGCCAGAGTATCCTGAACCTACGGAAAAGTGCGGGAAAGGAATTTGGAAAATCGGGATAAATAAAAAAATCACAGCCACAGGGATTCATCTTCATGCCTATTGCCAAACAACAGAAAAGGTTGTTCTGCAACCCGGATTTTAGCTGCTCTGAACTGCTTCCGTTCTAAACATTTTTGAACCTCCTCCACAATTAAAAAAAAATAATCTGACATCTGTTGCTAATGACGTAAACTCCAATTATTCTCGCGGCGACATGCCTAAAATTAGACTAAAAACTGCCTTTACTTCGCTCTGCATGAAAATCCCAGCTCCTACTCGGCACCACCTGTCTTGGAAATACGCATTGATGGCGTTGATCAATTTAAATAAAGAGGAGAGTAAGGATGTCTGCGCACAATAACCTTTCGGGGTTCAGGCAGGTTTCTTACCCTGGCTGGGGTACTCCGGCGTGCTGTTGCTGCCCCCCGGTGGCAGGGGTGGGTATGGAGTGGAGGAGGGGCCCAGGGCTGCAATCATCTCCATGACACTGGGCAGAATCATGTGACTGGGGCTCAGAGTGCGGCAGCGCTTCAGCGCTGGCCCGTCCGGGTCTTCCTTGATGTGGATGTCGGGCTTGACTGGGACCGGCTTCCAGCTGCACAGCGGGTCGATCGTGATCTCCTCGTACTCGGAGCTGGCAGGGAGACAGGAGGAACGGGAGAAGGGTGAGAGTCCTTCCAGTGATCCGGCCGAAGCTGAGGAAGAGGGAGGCGGAAGGAGGGAAAGCAGCGTGGGAGCAGGCTGATGAACAGGAGTGGCGTAGGGCTCCGCCCAGGGCCGCCGCCCCCCCACGCAGCCAGGCCCCGCCCACACAGCCAGGCTCCGCCCCATGGTCACCCCCCCCAGCCCAGCCCAGCTCCACCCACACAGCCAGGCTCTGCCCAGGGCCACCCCCCCAGCCAAGCCCAGCTCCACCCACACAGCCAGGCTCCGCCCAGGGCCACCCCCCAGCCAAGCCCAGCTCCGCCCACACAGCCAGGCTCTGCCCAGGGCCACCCCCCCGCCCTGTCAGCACAGTGGAAACCAGAAAGAGCGGCAGCCCAAGAGAAAGACCATGTGATTTTAACGCTGTGACGTACATTAACCCAAATGACAGTAATTACTACAATCTGTAAAAATGAGCATTTCATTGAAAAAGGTTTTTTAGCGGACATGAATTTTCCCTGAAAATGGAAGGGAAGAGACACAGGCACCCCAGCTCTACAATCCTGAAGGAACCCGCCATGCTGCCTAATAAATGCTTTTGTAGGGGTTGCTGAGAGAATGAACCGCTCTTGCTCTGCCCTGCTATGTTGCACACTGGTGCTCCCATGCTCTGTTCTGCTGCCGAAACCTGCTCTAGACACCCTGCCACTAGAAAGGAGCTGGATTTTCTTTTCCCCTCAGCACACTGGTTTGCACACAGCTAACAGGAGGGCAGTTGAACAGCACATACTGAGAATTCAAAGAGAGGGGCACTACTTATTAATTCACAGACGGAGGGGCGGGGGGGGGGCACAATGTCTTCCGTAGGCCTCAAGCGAAAAGCCACCAGCACGTGACCAACGTCCACATCGAGGCCAGACAACCACAAACTGCAGCCGCGCCAGCGGGTGAGGCAGGAGAACAGACGTGGAGGAAGAAAAGGAGGCAGGGTCTTACTTCTGGATATAAATGAGGATCCCCAGCATGTACTGGTCCACCTCCAGGCCTTCCAGCAGGGCTGTTTTACTGGGAGAACAGACGGAGACGCACACTCAGTTACAGTCATAGCAGCATATGAAAAATCAAATGCTTATTCAAATGTCCGAAAGAGAACGTTAGATTTCCTTGACGGACACAAGAGAACTGCAGGATCTGTGTTGCTTGCAGTTATGTGAGAGACTGATGAGATGGGTATCTTACTTGCACACAGGACAACGCCAAGTTCCTCTCTCACAGTTCAGCTGCAGGTAGGACTCCAGATCAAAGCACTGCACGGACACACACAGAGAGAGAGAAAAAGAGAGAAAGAGAGGAGAAAAAAACGTCAGTGACCTCATTACACATCAAACTTCTCTCATATATCCGTCTGACACCGAGGAAACGGGAGCTGTGCTCGAGGGCTGGCAGGAGAGTTCCTACAACACCTTCCACGCAGAAGACAACTGCTCAAGACTTCCATCGCCCCCCCCTGGGCACATACAAGCGCAGGCGATTCCCCAGCTGGCGCGGGGAATCAAACAGCGGCCCCTGAGGAGCGGCCCCTACACAGACTGTGGCCCCCAGAGGGCCTCACCTGTATGTGCCGGCAGTCGTGGCCCCGGGCAGGCAGCTGGATGCGACGGAAGGTGATCGGACACTTGAGCGACACCTTGATGGCCGTCTGCTCCACCCCGTCCTCCCCGTTGAGCCCCGGGGTGCCTGGGATAGTGCCGCTGCTGAAGTTCCGCTTTACTGCGGGGGAGATACAGAGGGAGAGATTTTCTAATGACCCACAGCACCAGCGGAAGAGCCGAATGCGTGTGGATGCGCTCACACCCGAGCAGCGGGCGCGAGAGGCGGCGGCGACTGCGGCGGTGTACTCACTCTTGGTGACGCAGTGCTCCGCGGGCAGCAGTCGTTTCTTCATCAGGCCCTGCAGCACCGAGCGCACCGAGGGCCGGTGCACCAGCTGCAGCACGAACAGGTGGGACTGCGGGGCGGAGAGAAGAGACAGGCGGGGGATTAGGCACATCCCGCGCGGTCTCGGCCGGGCAGAGCCACGGGGCGAGAGGCAGGCGCTGGCAGAGCGGTACTCACACAGCAGCAGGCGGTGACCGTTATCTGGATGGTGTTCCTTCCAGGCTGGCACACCTGCTTCAGGTAGAGGGGCTTGTGGGAGGTCTTGTTGTCCCCTCGCTCGATGCTGAGAGGGGTGGCGTTGACGCTGACCTGCACCGAGGCCGGCCAGTTGGTGTTCATCTGCCTGTCTTCGTGGTGGTAACACTTGAACTGCAGCTCCAGGTCCGGCCTGCGGGGGGCGACAAACGCAGCCTCTCACACCCCACTCCCACCACTGCACCCCCTGCCCGACTTGCGTTTAAACTGAACTTCAGCTGCACGAGTCTTTGCCCGCCTGGAATGTTAGGTAAATTGGGAGTGACCCCGTTGCGTGAACCATTCACGATACAAATTTTGCTAAATTCAAATGTTTTAAAACGGTATAATAAGAATAAACACACCAAATAAGGTACTTAAAAATACTTTAAAAAAAATATACACACCAAATACTTAAAAACACACAGTGGAGAAACATGCAATAAATTAGACAGGAGACAGGAGAGATTTTTTCATCTTTGAACATATTTATAGATATTATTCATATCATTAACTACACCCTACTTATCAGTAATCGTATCCAAAATCCACAGAAAAGAATAAAATCATGTGGGCGCTTGCCTGACATGATTGCAATAGGTCATGCAGAGGTTACCACACCTAACCAGGAGCAAAACAAGACTGAAGTGTTGAACAGAGCCCTAGAAGATACTGGAGGTGATCGTATTCGCTCACTCTGCGCTGAAGAGCAGAAGAACCATAATTACACTGCTTCGCCTTTGTGTACACAACATACTTCCCATAACACGGAAATGTTCATTATGGAACCCAGGAGCCTCAGACACAGGCCTGCTCCCTAGCAAAGCCCAGGCCACAACTTTCGACCTTCTGTCACTGGCATGCTTCCCCGCGGCTGCTGAGGTTCGGACAATTACTGTTACACCAGACTGTTCAGTGTCTAACGAGCACGCACAGGCCCACCCCCGGGACAGCAGAGAACTCCGCCGCTCCCCAAGATCAGAACCGCCACAGCAGAGCTTCCCCTCCCGACTTGAGGGGGCAGTGATGTCACTTCTGTAACCTGCCCCGTTACACCGGCCAATTAAAATGAAAGCTTCTATTCTAGATGGCCAGGAAGCTTAAGAAATCGGAGATGAAAGCTCATCTTTTGGAGTTGACTGCATCTTTCCAAACCCCAGCAGATCAAATGACATTCTAAGGCTACACCTTTCAAAACAGCCTGGATGTGTCAATACAAAAGATCCCTTTAAGACCCGACAGGACATTTTCCATGTAGCTGGATGTCCTACAGAGCTCACTCACAGCCATGATTTTGGTGCATAATGTTTGTCAACTGAGAATCCATAATTATTTGCTAGAATGATTTGCAACAGTACCGCCAGGCTCATCCCCAGAGCCCAAAGCACGGCTCATCTCCACCCCTCACCTCATCATCAGAGTCTTGTACACCGAGTCCCGCAGCTGGAACACATGGTTGCTGACTGCCAGGTTGTGCTCCAATCGGAAAGGCTCCAGCACCACCCCATCCCGTACGGGAAACGTCAGCCGCAGGTCATCGCTAGGGTTACCTGAGGAAGGCAGAGGGGGGAGGGGGAAGACGGAGTTCAGCTTACAAAGACACTGTCACACATCACAGTACAGGACTTGGTTACACCCTCTGACTCATTCAACACAGCAAGTTGCGCACCTTCTCAAATCAAAACAACCGTCTCCAAAGCAAACACCTGGAGACTAAAATTGCAATTAGCATCCGTGCACAGAACACAAACACTCAGCACACACGCCCAAGGATATCTTCCAGCTGAGCCACGAAGTTCACATACACTGCTCTGTGCCAGGGTTTTGCACTACACTTGCAAACGCACTCGGCCACTGCAGGTCAAGCTACACTATTGCCACACTATGCTTCAGTTCAGCTCATCACTTGGGAGAAGATGGCAAAATTCGCGGTTCGGTTATCGGGCACTTCTTTGCACAAAGGGTTGTGGGAGTATGGCACCAACCACCTGCCATGCTGTCAAAGTCATTACCCTGGCTTCTTTTCCCTGGTTTCTCATCCCATTGTAATCTCCCAGGTTCTGAACCAGACTCAATTCTCTTCCCTGACGGACACATTTAATAGTCTTATCAAGTGATTTAACCAACAACGATTCCAAAGATGCATTCGACGGAGGATGTACTTCCGTTTACTACGAAACACTGCCCAGCCTAAACGGAAAACCGACAAGGTGTTGTACCTGTAGGGGGAGGCGGCAGAGAGTTGATGTTGGGTTTGATATCGGTCAGGAACGGGGACTTCACGTCCTGTCCTGGTGACATGTAAGGTGGCATGTTACTGCCAGGCGTCATGGGTGGGGTGGGGTTACCAGGGAGGGGCGAGCTGGGGTACCCTGGCATCGCTCGCCCCGGCTGTCAGCAGAGAGAGAAGAAACGGCAGAAAGGAGGGGAGGGAGGGTGGGAAAGAATGAGAGAAGATATCAGACCAGATCATTTCACCCTTACACGCACAAGGAGCCGTTTATTTCAATGTAAGTCTAGTTCAGACACGATCTGAGCATCTTGCATGCAAGGAAGGCCTCCTTGCTTCTGGTAAGAAAGCCTCTCCCATTTTTAAGACCTTAAAATTGTGCACCCAGAAATACAGTCAGGGTTCAAGCGCAGAGCACGTGTGATTAGGGGGAGAAGTCCAGGGCCTGCTGAAGCGAGATTCTTACCCCATTGACAGCAGGCTGGCTGAAGCTGCTGTAGCCCCCTGGCCCTGCCCCTGCCCCTGGAAGGCTGGTGCCCTGTCCATTAAACTGCTCGGCCGCCTGGGGAACAAACAGGGCAGAGTGAGACCTCCAGCACACGTGAAGCGGAAGGCTGTCAGATTCTGCCGTCTTGAGACGTTAACGCTGCATCGCCTGGCAGTCCGCGCACTTAACTAGTGAGTGACCCTGGCTAACAATGGCAGTGCCTTCTTTTTATCCCCTACTAATTAAGGATCCCGAAATACAGGACTTCACAGTGCTGAATGATTCCAGTGGATGCTCTCTCTCTCTCGTATAACGTGCACCCACACTCTGGATTGCTCATTTTTTTTTACCAGAGGTTAAAACGCTCAACAAATGACACTATGTTCTAACCCACATCACCTATATCAATCCCCCCTGCATTCGTTTAGCCAGATGTTTGGGAGCAGCTAGTGCACAGATGTAAACTGATCAAGGCCTTTCAGAACAAACTGGGACTACAGAACCCAGTGGCAGCGCTATTTGGTTTCGCACTCCTCTGTTCGTGTCACTGCAAGGGCGGTTCTTGAAACGCTGTGTGAAAGCGGCCAGGGGCCCGTGCGTTTTACTGCTCTTGACGCACCTTGTAATATTGCCCCGGGTTGCCAGGACCCGGGGGGTACTGCCCCATGCCGCCCTGCTGCATTGGCATCCTGTGCCCGGGGTAAGAGGGTGAGGGGGCAGAGCGCTGGGCGCCGGGGCCGTGGTACTGCATGGGCTGACCTGCGTATGGCCCCCCGCTGCCCATCCCGGGACCGTACTGCTGGCCTGGGAAACCCTGAGCACAAAGAGGGGAGAAAAAGTCAGGAGAGGCAGAAAAAACTAACAGTGAGACGTGTAGAAGCCACAGATCGTTCGGCACTGGAGCAAGCTGGCTTCAAGGACCTCTTCCGGGCCTTCACGTGCAGAAACTCCCAAGTGACCCTGCCGTTAATACATGAGCAGGTTAATACAAGAAAAGCCCCTGCACAGTTCCCCACTGCAGCAGAGCCCTTGCAGTACAACCTGAGAACAAGCAGACTGCAGCAGGGGTCAGACAGAACCCAGAGGAAAACCAGGCCGCTGGTGAAAGTGCCGGTGGACCAGTAGGTGGCGCTCTCTCATCTTAACCAGTCCTCCCAAGCCCAATGCCCCAGCATGGTGACCGGGGACACTATGCTGTAGGTGTTGCCGTTGTACAGGGGCGAAACACGGGTGCTGAATACCTGCTTTTCCCCAAAGTTTAGAAGGATTTTATGTTTAGAAGGATCCCTGCTAACTTTGATCCCATGCTTTCATTGAACAAGCTTACCCAACACAGCCCTCTTGAGTCAACTGGTGAAGCAATTCCTCACTCCTCCCCCTGATACGCTGTGTAACGTATATGTATTTGTAAAGTGTATTGGAATAGGAAGTGCTATAAAAATGCCATTATAATCATCATCAGAGATGTCCTCCTGTATCTCATGGTAGATCCCAGACTCACCTCAGAGTTATAAGGCCTTTTCAGGCCCTGTTGTGGGCGTGGTGGCCCCTGGGGGCCCCCAGGGTACCCTGGGTGCTGAGGAAGCCGCTGGCCCTGTGAGTTATACAGGGGCGCCATGGAGGGGGGTCGGGAGGGGCCCATGCCTGTGGCGGTCATGCCAGGGGGTCCTCTAGGGCCCGAGTGAGGCAGGAACTGGCTGTTATAGGAGGAAGCGCCACCCATCTGCAACAGAGCGAAGGCAGCACTGACATCACTGTTCATAAACCTGCAGTTCATTCGGTCAGTAGGTTTTATTTTAAAATTGTCACTACTATTGGCAGTGGATCAGCATGCAAGTGAATCCTCCCTTTTTTGTTCTGAAAATGAAAATTGAAAAAAGGTTGTCCCCCGTTTTAAATTTTAATATATAAACCAAAAATTAAATGTATGATGGGCTTGTTTCCACATTTTCTATTTTTTGCAACAAAAAGAAGGTTTGATTATATGAAATTAAAGAAAAAGATTCTACTTTAATATGTACAAAGAATCGAAGTCAACACAGAAGAAGCGGACACAATTACTTGTAGAACCACTGTTGAGACTGGTCTGGCATCCTGGTGGGGCCAAAATTAAAAATGTGTACAACTGTGATCACTGTTATAAAAGACATAGCTGTACTGGAACCAGTCCAAAAAAGAATAACCAAGGGAATGGGAATGGACCGACAGGCTGAAGGAACTGAAGGTTTTAGACTTGAACAGAGAAGAGTCTGAGGGAACTTGATAGAAATATTTAAAATTTCAGAGGTACTGACACAGTCAATACAGTGAACTTTCCAACTCGCAGTAAAACATTAACTAGAGGTCACACGTAGAAAAAGGTGCCGTCATGTAGTTATGTTGATGAACCCGATATCCTTGCTTCCTTCAAGAAACAGGAGAGTGAGAACCCTGGGTCAATGAACTAATGACTATGTCCAAGACTGCCCGAATGGCCTCCTCGTTTGTAACCCCACTCAGGTTCTTGCGACGTACTCGGACACTGGCGTGAGCATGACTTTGCACATCGTATTCTGATGGCAGTCCTTCTGGAGCCACCTTTCTCAAGTCCAAAGAGCAAAGTATGTTTTAGAAATGTCTAAAAAGAAAAAAGAAAACCGGGTGGGTCTTTCTCGGCCTGCAGCTATGAAGCCTGTGACCACACACAGGGAAGAAAGAGGAAGTGGAGAGAGACACCTCTGACACGCCCACCACCAATCCCCTCCTCTTTGAAAAGGGGGGGGTCATGGGCTGCACAGCCTTGCGCCCGGAGGCTCAGCGGTGATTGGAGGAGAGCCTTGTCCGTCACCGATGGCACCGTGTGCCTGCAAGAACACGGGAGGCTGCAGGGCTCTAATGGTCACATGTGCTAACTAATCCCACCCTTTCCTGATGCTCAGCCAATTGCAAGCAGCCACTGGGGGAATCCCGATTGTAGTCGGCTAGAAACAACCCAGGCTCGAACCCGGAACACAAAAAACGAGAGGAAAAGCATGTAGAGGATTTGCAATCACAGTATTAATTCAACGCTTTTACTGTACTGGGTTGCACACATTTTCCACCGGAATCACACAAAATGTTCCCCTCACTTCTCGAAGTGTAAAAGGAAATAAGCACAATCAGCCAACCAAGCATCAGTATGTCCACAGCAATAAATGACTAGAATTTCCTTAAGTGCACACTTAAAAAAAAATATTTACTCAAATTGTATTTTATTAGCTAAGTATCTTACACCTTTTGGTTTCTTTTTACACTTGTATTTCAAAAAACCCATGCCCACTACATTTAAAATGAATACAAGTAAATAAAACAGGGACATAACACTCTAAGGGCTAAGGCTATATCTGTGTGGTTTCAAAATGACTGTTTTCTTATGTCTGAATTAAATCACGGCGCACACCAACAGCAGAGCATGAACTCGGACGCGTCGCGCACGCATCTCTGAAAACAGAAATTCAATATCGCAGTCAAAACGTAATGTTGCGAAAAACAGAAATCAAACCCAAACTATTTCTTTGAAATTTTAGGGATTGAAAAAGAAATGAAAACAAAAACAGTACGGTGCTTCTTTTTTTCTCCCAAGGTCTTTATGGGGAAACAAATGAGAAAAAAAGAGCCAGATCCTCCTGTTCTGAGGTTGGATTTTGAAACCACTGCGACCAGCAGGCTTGCACTGTCTCATTGCAGCAGGATTGACTAAAGAAATTCCCACCGGCGGCCACAAGGGGGAGCAACACCCCTAAAGGACAGCAGCCACTGTCAGTCAGGCTGGCTACCTTACCGCCACCGGTAGGTAGTGTGCGTGTCAGAGCCTCGCTGCGTGGATGAGGGCGAGCCTGCATTCGCAGGTCACAGCGTCAGGGGGCCACTCTCCAGATGAGTTTGCGACAGCACAAGTCTCGTGTTGCCACAGTACGATCACGATCCAGTGGCCTTGCCTGCAGGTGACTTACCGGTCCGTAGTTCAGCTCCTGGTTTTGTTTCTCCTGTATCGCCGCCACCGCCGTGGCTGTGGCCGTCGCCGTGGCAGCCGCCGCGGCCACCGCGGCCGCCGCCGCCGCCTGGGTGAAGTCGGCAGAGGGACGCACGCCGTGGGGGGGCATCCCCATCGACCCACCGCCACTGCTGGGGTAGCTGCGGGAGACAGAGAGGAGAGAGACCGGGCGTCAGCACACCACCTTGTGGATACGGGCCCTGATCCCGACACCAGATCCCGCACGGCGCACGCCAACGCGCCTGCTTCGCTCGTCGGCCGAGGCTGGGTGGCACAGCTGTTCACCAGAGCCTCTTTTTCCCCTGCTGCCATCCCTCACCAGTCCCCAGAAACAACCCAACGCAAGGCTCTCATCCAGCTGTTTCCTGAAAGAACCCAGACTGTCTGGATCGGCTGGGCAGCTTGTTCCACACTCCTACAACCCTTTGCGTAAAGCAGAGCCTCCCTGCACTTTCTGCACAGTTTTCTTTCGTCTTCCGAATCGTGCTCCAAGAGTGCTGCCTGCCGTGATTTTAAGTGGGTGGACTCGGCCGACTCTGAAAACGTGAATCGGGTCGCCTCGGAGTGTTCTCTGCTCAAGAATGAAAAGGTTCAGGTCTTTCACCGTGTCGGGCGCCGCCGCCAGCACTGCTGCTCTGCAGGCAGGGTGTGCAAAACCACTCTCTTTTTTTTTTTTTACTCTGCGCAACACAGACATTTGCATAATGGTGCCGCCTGAGCCGCACTGAGAAACACTTTCAGTTTTAAGATCCCTCCGAGACGACGCTCCACTTGACGAGCTCGTCAGCCGAGGCACTTAAAAGAATTGCGGGCCTCACTTGACGAGAGTTAACCTGTCATCTGACACTTCTGTCATTCGATCAGCTGTAACTCGGCACCCTGCGGCCCTCACTCTCATCGTGCTGCCATGTGAAATTATTTAAACTGCCTCTGAAATGTTTTTGTCTGAATAGTAAGCAACTCGAAGTAAACACACAGGCATGTGTGTAGCTGGACTGAAAAGACAGAGACCTGCTGTCACACAGGACATTTGCACCAGTGGGCGGTGCTCATGCGGGCACCATCACCCGTGCCCTCGTGTGGCCGATACCCCCCAGTCGCTCTGGGCGACGCCAAGCTGCTGCCAATGATGGATTGCTGCGGGCATGATTGTGCTACTCCTGAGAGCCCGGGATCCTATTCTTGCAATAATGAAAGACTTTCACGAAAGAAAACCCAGGACTCGCTCTTATCTGAAATGAAAAAATCCCACCTATGTATTGCACGATATGAGAAATAAAATCGTGAGGCCAAGGTCACACCATGTGGTCGGATAATTGACTTGAGGTTCTTCAACCCTTAAAACCGCCTGATAAGGCTTTCGGATCAATGAACTGCTAGGAATTAGCTGCACGATTACAGAGGTGCCAAGAGAGGCGCCCTCTGCAAACGCTCTCTTCCGTTCTCACTGCGCGGAAATCTTCCGGTCAGAGGCGTGTGTGCCCTCACCTGCCCCCGTATCCCGGCCCGCCGGGGTAGCCCCCTCCCGGCCGGCCGTACAGCCCCTGCTGCATATAGCCCTTGCTGGGCTCGGGGTATCCCTGCTGGCCCATGAACTGCGGAGAGCTCATTCCCGGGCTGCTGCCGGGCATCATGTGACCACCAGCCGAGTTTCCACCTGGACCCATGGGATTGCCCAGCACCTGCTTGAGAGGGAGGGGGCCAGAGAGGAAGAAGAAGGAGGCGGATGAAGATCCTGCGTTTGCGAGCAGCCCGCAACGCAAACAGCTGACGGAAGGACAGGACCAAATCTGACTGCACAACAGAGGTGAGCAAAAACAGTCTTCACAGAAGGTGTTGCACCCAAATTCACAACAGAAACAGAAGCAGGACAATAAGGTACAGTCTGACCACAATACAAAACAACACCCAGAAATAAGCACACAGTGTCATAAAGATGTAGATGCAAAGATGGAGAGAGGAAGGAATAGAGGAGGCCCACACGAAGGGCAACAGAGATCAGAGCAGGACTGGATGCAGAGACTGAGAATGAGCTCTAGAACAGGCTGTTCTAGTGGAAGAAGGAGCCACTGCTGTTGCAACATTGCCGAAGGGTCACTACCCTACCTGGCTGGGCGAGGGATTGGTCACCCCCCACACAGTGGTTACCACCGAGAGGGAACCTGCTGGCTGATTGCTGCCTTGCTGCCAAGAGACAGGGTCATATGGGTAGGAGCCGTCACTGTACGGGGCAGAGAGAGACAGCAGGGTTATAAAGCCTTGTAGTGGAGGAATTCCCACTCAGGACTGAATCCCACAGCCCATGCACCTCTCTGTTCTATCAGCTGTGTGTGAGGGTCGGTCTGCCTGATGCCAATAATGACACAGCCCTGCATTGGTCAGCGCATCACCACTGACTAATGTGACACTGTGTGTGGGTTTTTCTTTCCTATCTGACATCACAGTTACATACAGTGTGCGAGTGTGGCTTACTCACTGCCTAAGCAATCTGACTGAGCACGTATGTGTCACCCTCTAGTCTCTGAGCGCGGCGCCGATACAGGAGCGCGCCCGGGCGTGTGTGGCTGCACACTTCTTGATCTGCGCGCGCCGAGTGTGTGTGTGTGTGCGCGCGTGTGTCCGAGAACATTCACACAGTCACATGCTCAAGCAGCACACGGAGCTCTCTGCTGCGTTTCCATGGAGACACCTCTGTCACCTAGAGACGAGGAAGAGCGGTTGTGCCTCGGAGAAAGAGTGAGAGAGTGCGCGAGAGGGAGGGAGGGATAGTGAGGGTGTGTGTGTGTGTCGCACTGAAGAATCATTTTTGCAACACATACCGGATTCCTACAATCCGCTTGGTCCTGTATAATTCATCCCCTCGGAGGACATGGCCTGAGGTCAGCTTTGTGTTAACCCTTCATCTTTTTACCTTTGCTGCTGAATCTGTATTTAACATCACCCCTCTCCCCGACGCGAAACCCAGCCTCCCAGCCATACACAGTCATTTTACACATCCTGGGGCAAGAGAGGTTAAATAACTAAGCTGACTGAAAACCTTCCAGACTACATCATTGGAACAGGCTGAAGACACATTGCAGCAGATCCTGGGCTTTAACTATTTATTACACCTCTTGCCGAATGAATGGAAACATGTAATAGAAGCAGCAGATACACAGAGATGACACTTCCTAGCTTTTACAAAAGTGTTCTTTGTATATCTGCTACATGTTCTTTCCTGGATGGTAGTATTTAATGTGAGAGGACAGTATGGTGCTGAACTGTACTTCAGTACAGAATGGCAGGGTGAAACACTTTGATCAAGTGTCTGGGTGCTGTGCAGGCTCTTGTACTGTACTGTGGGATAGCATTAGCATGTGAAGATGCAGTGCAGAGTACTGTACAGCAATGTAAGAATTGTCAGGGGGCTTTTGTGGTCAGGTTCCTGACAGAGTAGGCTTCTATCAGTTTCCTCTCTGCACACCACAGGAAGTCAGGCCCTCAGCAACAGGAAATCGGTGTTCCTGAGCACAGATCAGCAGCAAAGCTTATTCAGCCCATAGGCTGAGAGGATATACCTAAAACAGTCGGCCTCTTCATGCCCACCCAACCCAATCACATTACCGCACCGTGCTCACTCAGTCCCAGCCTTGGATGCAGCTGAGCCAATCGCAAACATAGGAAGACTGCTCGCGATTTCCAGACAGCAGAGCTGTCTCTAAAACCGACCGGTCAGTTTTAGAGACAGGTGCGCCACTGTCACTGCAGGTGTGGCAGCTCCAGTGCAGCGACTGTGCGCGCATGCTTGCTTTTGAGCACTTTTAGTGTTGAGGTTCAGGGTTTCGAATCGGTGTGGAGTGCTGGCGTTTCGATTCGGGCCCACGGCACTGACCTGTGTGGCGTTGGAGGCAGGGCGGGTTTCATGGGGTTGATGGGGTTCATCGGAGGGGCGTGGGGCTCAGCAGGAAGCCCCGATACACCTCAACCCAGCAGGCAGCCTGAGGGACATGGAAAGACAGGGTTACGCACTGCATACACAGTGCACCACGTGCCACACAGACAGACACACTGCTCCTGAAGTTTTGTACACTCACACTACGTCAACGCTGCAGGGCCTGCTCTCAGGCCCTTGCTCAGATCACCAGCGGGCCTTGGTCCCGCTGAAGGGCAGCAGGTGACACTGAGCTCTGGTTTCGCATGTCAAGCGACAATGAGGACCGTGACCAGAGGCCAGCAACCAACCGAACATCCAGTCAGACACACGTCATCTGCCCAGATAGAGACAAAACCGTAGCAGTAGTCCCCCGTCAAGACACGGCTGCTGGGGAAGCAGACCATTTTGGCTAGCTTTTACAAGCAACAGAACCACCTGACAGCACCTCTGCTGTACCTGCTGTGTGAACACGCCTGTCCTGTACAAAGCTACTGCCGCACCTGCCCAGCAGACATTCCCTCTGCTGCACTGACCCCTTGCAAGGACACCAACATCCCGAGCTGTACCGGCTGCAGAGCGGACCAGGCCGGTTTTACTTATCGGCACGCTGGCCTTACTGGGACCACTCGCACTGCGTTCTCTTCCAGGAGAAGCCAAGAGCGATTTCAGACACTCAGCACTGCGGCCACGAGGCGATTCCACGGAGTAATGAGAACAGGGCTGTTTTTCAGCGCCTCCAAATCACACTGACGTCAGCAGGGGGCTCCTACACTTTTGATGCACCACTGTCTCTTTTTTTTTTTAAGTGCCTGTGCTGGCGATTCTGCCGCTGACAGCTTTCCTTGGAGACTCCTTTTGTTTCCGCTACAGAAAGGCCACTTTTTCAAGGGAATGCTAAATATAGTGCCGAGAGAAAAGTGTCTTATTCCGCTTCCTTTCGTTTTCTCCAGTCTCCGCAGAAAAACGTCTCATTACGAGTGCCAACGGTAACGGGGGGGGGGGGACCATCTTGAACTATCTATGACCGTGCGCCTCCTTCTGTGATACAGGGGTGAGTTCGAAGTTACTGCCAAATAATTTACCTCTCAAGCTTCTGCTTGAACAAGAGCTGGTCTGTTTGTTCTGCCAAAAACACAGCCCCCCCCCTGCTGCCCCACCGGTTGAGGGATCAGCAATCCAGTCCCAGCCCTCACCTCCACCCCACCCCCTATTCTCAATCTCGGGGATAAACCATATTTACTGACATGCTAATTTGTTACAAACATCACTGCCTTCCAACACCACCACCCCACCCCCCTTCTCCCCTTCCTCCTCCTCTCCCTCCCCCCAAATTTAGGTCACTCGGCAGGCAGACAGCCTAAAGTGGAACAGGGAAAGGGGGTGGGGTGGGAGAGGAGAGAAGGACACACACAATGATAATGGAGAGGGAGAGAGTGAGAGAGAGAGAGGGGGAAAAAAAAACACAAAGAATCCAATACCAAAATAGCGCTCGCAGAGAGAGAGAGAGAGGAGGGGAGGAGAAAGGCGAAGGAAAGCATCAGTGAGGAGGAGAAGAGACGGGAGAGAGAGAGAGAGCTCTCCTGTGGAGCCTGCAGCTCTGCCGCAGACAGGAAATGAGCCCCCAGTCGCCTGACAGAGTTAACTGTTACGGCTGACAGAGGCACGCCGACGCGGGCGGGCTCTGACCGGAGCGACGGGGTCCCGCGGCGCGGGCTCGCGGCTCCACCGGGGCCCGGTGAACTCTCCCTCCCCCGGCCGCTCCCCGGACACCGCTGCGGTCCGAAACACGGGAGGGGGGGGCAGAACGAGGGAACAGCGGTTCCCCCACTGCTGCGCACACAGCCAGGCGGGCAGCTGGGCACAGGGTTCCAGCTCGGAGGCTGTTGCAATGTTATTTACGAGCCATGAGGTACTGGAGCATGGAGCAGTCCCCCACCCCACACACACACACACTCACACACTCCGGCCACCTCCTCCCTCTTCCCCTCTCCATGAGCCGGAGCTCCAAGCACACACTGTTCCTGCCCTGGAATGAACAGCACGCGCTGTTCTCTCTCTCTCCTTCTCTCTTCCTCTCCGCTCGGCTCTCCACCCCCTCCTCACCTCCCCTCGGTCCATCCTTAATCCATCTCTCCCTCTCCTACACTTTCTCTTTGTCCTAGCCTCATCCCGACGGGGATCCCAAAAGCCCCGTACGGCCGCCGCCAAGCGCAAACGAGCGCTGGGGAATGTTTTTCTTCGGGGGGGGGGGGGCAACCTGTTTTGATCGGATGCGGCATTCTTCCCTCACCCTGAAGACAAACGGCCAAACGTCTTTATCCCATTCTCAGGCAGAGCGCTCAGCTCCCAGAGAAGAGGAGGGTGTGGGCCTGCACAAGGTGGCCAGGATTTGCACAGGCTCTCTCAGAAGGGAGATTCTGCATTTGGGTGGTACCTGCAAAACAATGCAGAGCACCCCTCCTCTTCTAATCCCACTCCATTGTGCCTGTAACCCCCCTGCTGCCACTGTGGGGTCCCTGGGCCGAGCTCCCTGCACTCACCACCCAGCTGCTCGTCTGGGCAGGGCAGCCAGCAGGTCAGGCCAGCGGAGCTGCTTGAAGCAATTATTTCAATTTGTTGGGATTTTTAGGAAGATCTAAAAATGACTGATTGCAGGAGGTGTATGCATCATGCATCCTGACTCTTAGTTGTCAGGATATTCCAATCGTGCAATCAAGTGAGAATTCTGGTAATTGAAAAGAGCTTTGCATGCTAATAGGAACAATAAATAACACAGGAAACTGCTGGACTCGGGGACCTTCGACGAGAGGAACTGATGGACTCGCAGTGCGGCTACAGGAAATAACTCTGCAGGAAATTAATGTCATTGGATTGTTTTGTTTTGTTTTTTTATTTTAGGTGAAGGAAAGTTAGGTTACACTGACCCTGACTGAGGTGCTCAGGAACTTTGCTTAATGCTGACAGAGAGAAAACACTGCCGTCCTGAGCCCCAGTGGAGACAGCACTCAGGAGACAGGAGCCCCGCCGCTAACCAGATCCAGCAGGGGGCGCTCACCCTGCGGTCTGTGTGGGTCCCGATGCCCCAGTATAGTGACGGGGACACTATACTGTAAAAAGGCTCCGTCTTTTGGGTGAGATGTAAAACCAAGGTCCTGGCTCTTTGAGGTCATTAAAAATCCCAGGGTGTTCCTCGAAAAGAGGAGTGTTACCCCAGCGTCATGGCCAAATTTCGCCCTGGCCTTTCCCAATCATGGCCTCCTGAATCCTCATCTCTTTCCCCATTACTGTAAAGCGCTTCAAGTGGAGTCCCAGAACAGCGCTATATAAGCATAAGAACTATTACTATTAAAAAAGCAAGCTGAACTGTGCCTGATCGAAGCAAGGACACCCCGACACCACGATCTCATCCTGCAGAGCTGTGGTCAGGACAAGTACCCTCACAATCACAGCGGCGAGGGTGGGTCCCACCTGCCCCACCCCCGCCGCTAAAAAAAAAAACACATGCGAACTCATGTGGGGGGTTTGTAAGCAGGGACTCCATTCACAAGATTTACAACACCCCCCACTGTCCCTGGAGAAAGGGAGTGTGGGAAGGGGGGGCCGGGGTGGGGCCGTGTTTGACCAGACATTCCTGAGATTGCTGCGCCTGGTCCCGTTCTGCCTCTCGCTGGCCTCTGTCCAGCAGCCAGGGGCTTACCCGAAAAACCCCACCCCACCCCCCTCCGGCCCGCCCTGGGACAGGACTCCCGGGACTCCTGAAAGGCCTTAGGCAGGCGAGGCCCTCGCGTGGCAGAACCCCCGTGCACAGCACGTCGCCCCGTGCCGCTGGGTTACGCTGGCATCCTGCGTGCTGCCCCCCCGCGCCAGCGTGGAGCGGGTGCGTGCGCCGCGATGGTGCTCTGCGCCGCGATGGTTGTGGAACTGCGTTGCCATGGCCAAAGGGGTGTGAGGGCAGAAAGGGAAACGTGTGGTGAAACACCACAGAGTCAGTACAAACCCCTGTAGCGGAACAAATTCCTGACACTTACACAGCGCTCTTCTGGACACTCCACTGAGAGCGCTTTAAAAGGTAATGGGGGCTCCCCTCCACCACCAGCGGTGTGCAGCCCCACCTGGATGACAGGACAGCAGCCAAACTGCGCCAGTATGCTCACCGCACACCAGATTATCAGTGGGGAGGAGAGCAGAGTGATGAGGCCAGTTCAGCGATGAGTTATAATCAGGAGGCCATGATTGGGAAAGGCCAGGGGGAAATGTGACCAGGGCACCAGGGTAACACCTCTCCTCCTTTCGAGAAACACCCTGGGATTTTTGATGACCACAGAGAGTCATGACCTTGGTTTTATGTCTCATCCAAAGGATGGCGCCGTTTTACAGTATAGTGTCCCCGTCACTATACTGGGGCATTAGGACCCACAGAGGCGGCAGGGATGAGCGCTCCCTAGTTGTCTCACTAAAACCTTCCAGCAGCAACCTTTTTCCCCAGGAGGTCTCCCATCCAGGTACTGACCAGGTGCACACCTGCTGAGCTCCAGTGGGCTGCCAGCTGCAGAGTCATATTGCTGCTGCATCTGGTCACCCCCTCGCGCAGCCCCTCTCTCCTCCCTGCAAGACTGCCGCACATCGTCCAAGGGTACGAGCACACAGACCCACCCACTACTACTACAGCGCACACCCGCCAAGATCCATCCAGACACGCTTCCAGCTTCTCTCACGTTAGCGATGTCATTCTCATGCCCAGCTGGAACCTCCTCTGTGCACATTTATCAGTAAACGAGCCCGAGTTTGCCTGCAACTCTATAGGCTTTCCTGGGGAGGGGGGAGGAAATTCTCAGCCCATTAAACAGGTGAAACTCCAGCCTCTCAGCAGGAGGACCTCGGATTTGCAGAAGACATTTGTTTCCTCTTTTTTTTGGTGGGGGGGGGGAGTGACACAAATGGGAGGGGAGAAAGAAATTCTCAGCCTAATCAAAAGCACATGGGAGGGAAACACGCACAGGAAAGAAAACACTGATCTGGAAGCAGTCAGAACCCCTTCTGCTGTTGCAGAGTTGCAGACACAGT